GAGTTCTGATATATTTTGATTTGGGAACCCAACAAGTGACTATGGAATGCTTATTGTTGATCTAAACTCTACCCCATGACTTCTGCAGAAAATTTAAAACAATGTAAAGAAAAAGACAAATTCACTATTGGCTTTCATTTCTCAAATATCCTGCTTGAGTTTAGGGAGGAGACAGAGGTAAAGAAATATGCCCCATTGTCTGGGGGGCTTCCATTTAAGTGGGGGAGACAAATACATGCAGAATTTACTCTGAAACATGTCATAGTTCCAACAAATGCAGGTGCAAATGAGATTGCACTCAAGCCAGTCTAGAATGATGTTGCTAAGAGTCAAGTTCACAAAATGGATCTAAACCAAGTGTCTTTGTCAATGAGTCTTCTTGCACATAGTAGAAGCCATCTCCCTATACTAAGTAAATGTACAGTCAATCAACAAACTTGATGAAGTAAGTGCTTTTACCCCATCCTTGTGCATCATAGAAGAGGAAACTGAGGCAAGAATAGTCAGTGATTATCCATAGTCATGTAACTCTTGTGAGTTGGGGCAGCTGGGACCAAAATTAGGCATGTAAGCCCATGGCCTAGGGGAGACAAATGAGCAAGATTTTATTAGGAGATACACCTATATTAAAGAAAAGAAGTCAGAGTCTGGTAGTTTGAGCAAATCATAAAAAAGCAGTGTTGTCTAATCCCAAGTGAAAAAGAGAGAGAAAGGATCTTGGGGAGAAATATCTGAGGATTATATAAGGTGTTAAGGACAGTGTAACAGCCACCAAGGAGTCTTTAAGACAAAGTGGCCACTAAAAATGTATGTGCTCCAAATTTGGGAATCCCCACTACACCCAGACTCAGCTTAAGTGAGGGGTCAGTCTGGAACAACAGGAATAGTCCAAACTGTTCCAAGGAAAAAGTCATGGGGAGGGAGAGATAGCCATTCCCATCACATTAAAGGCAAAAGAAGGTAGTTTTCAAAAAACAGCCAGAGTCTAGGCAAACTGACGTTGTGCCCCTTATGTCCACACATGTGCCTCTGTCTTAAAGCGTCAGCCACACACAACAGGAGCACAGGTCTCTCGAATTGTATGCTCTGTTCTTTGGTTTTAAAGTCATTATCCTATTGCACAGAATAGATCTCATGATACTCAGCTCAGCTGCCATCAAAGTGAGGCTGCTCTGAAGCTCTTAGAATTTGCACTTGGGATTCCTTGAAGTCAAAAGATGTCAAAACTGATATCAAGACATCTAAATCATCCTCCATAATGCCATGTGTCCCCAAGCCAACCAGAGAAAAAGAACTACAGCACATCCTTTTCAACAAGTGAAGGGTTGATGTCTGGGCCACCTCTCAATCATCCACTGTTCTTTTTTTTTTTTTTTCTATTTGCCTTTTTGTGGAAGAGGTCAATGCTGTAAATAAGCTGCTAACAGTCTGTGTTGGCCATTATTTCCCCACTGTTCTTTACAGAATGCTAGACCTTCCCTAGACTATGCCCTACAATGCTTGACTTGTTTGCAGTGGGTGGAAGATGGAAACATGGTCTATTGAAAATATCAATACTTCCTTCCTGAAGTTTAAAGTGTCTATCATCTTTCTTTTATATTCTGACCCTTAGGCAAAAATCCCACCCCCTACAAACAGGCATGATGAAAATCAGAAGTAATGATATCCAAGGAGTTAGCCCTTGCTAACTGAAAATACTCTATTTCCAGAGCTCTATAAAAAAAAAATCATGAAAATGTGGCCTAGCTGACCTTGAGGTCAGGAAGGACACCTGCCCTCTTAGCTTGGAGTCCTTGTCCCATAAGGTTCTACCTTCATCAATGAAACAGCTTGGGAGGTGAACAACTGAGGACATGACGAACTACTGCCACTAGAAAGAGGTTTGGACTAGGTTCTGTTTTTACCTCCTGGTGTGGAAGATAGTAGACTAGCAGGCTAGCGGCAGATTCACAAAGAACCGCTACAAACCCAAAGCAGAGGTTCAGCTTAACTCTAAGAAATACTTGGGATTTTTTTAACCCTTTCAAAGCTTCAGATTGCTTAAGGTCAAATGGTCAAGATGCCAGTGAGCATCCTGAGGAGGACTGAGAATTAAATGAGAAAGCAAACAGAAGTGTATGAATTAACCCTTAGCACCTTATGCTCAAGTGACACCCTGTTAGTTCTCCTCTTAGTTCTCACAGCCTGTTCTATGCAGCCTGAAGAACATCACCAAACCTTAGCTAGCCTCAGCCTGGAAATGGATTGGATACAAATAAGGTCACCTTGCCAAAATGGATGTGAGGAGCCAGTGAGAGAACTTACTCAACCGTAAAGCCACAGCAGGTGTCAAGCAAGATTATTGTGATGTCTATTGTGATTAGCCTTTGATGATTTTGCCCTTACAAGGTCTATGGATGGCATTCCAGGGGAAAAAACTGTGGAAGAAAGCAAATGCCCTCTATTACAAATTAATCCCTTCCCCAGCTGATACCTTGATAATCTGGTTAGCCTTCCCTTCAGAAGGGCCAGTTTCTTCCATCAACCCCGGTGAGTTAGAAGATGGGCATTTTTGTAATAATCTTACCTTCTCTTGTGTCAATAGGAAATAATATTTACTCACTACTGTTTTTCTTTCAAAAAATCCATCTAGTTGCATGCTAGAAACAGTTTCAGCTGGTTTGTTTGTATTGGACAAGCTGCTGAAGTAAAAAGTTTTTGCTTGGCTGCATGTGAAACTGTTTCATAATCCATCAAGGAGTGCATTGAAGGTGGGCGCCAGCTCCAAGGACGGCTGCTCCTAACAGGCCTCCACCTGCAGCCTATTGTCAAGGGTAGCCAGCATAATCAAATTAAGACAATGAGCGAAGCAACAGATGCAACTGAGACCAAGTCCCTGAGTGCTTTTGTTCATCACTGTCATTGTCTGCAACAAAGAAATCACATGTGAGAGCCTGGGAAGAGAGCCAAATGCAAACCAGACACACAGCTGCTTTTAAATGGGTTCACTGAGCCTGTGTGCTTGGGAAGCATGCTACTTAGAGCAGTGGTGGGTGAGTTTCAGCCCATAGCTCTGCTGAATGCTGAGGCAGACCCACAAGAAAACCACCAGGGGACTTCTGCTCAACCTCACCCTGTCTACCTTCTGCTTTCAGAGAAAAGAAAAAGAACCAGAAGACAAAGATCTATCTGTAAGATGGTTGATCTAACCCCACACTCCCCTTTTAGTTGCTGTACAACCTTCATGCACTTATAGACTATACAGAAAATACCTGAAAGTGTTCTTTCCCAAATTTGTAACTCAGCTTGATTCAAGCGATCATGGGATTTCTTTCATTGTTACCAGTTCATCCTTGAATTATTTTAGCATGTGCATTTTAGACTCACTGTTCTTTATTTCTAATCTAGTGTTCATATTAAATAGGAAAAAAGTATAATTCAAGTTAGGATACTTCCCTATTAATTAATTTGGTTAATAGTTTCATAGAATAGTGCTGTTGACATTTACAGCTATTTGAAGCATGTGGTGAGATGAAGCTAATGGGTCCACACATAGCTTCAGATGGTTTGGGGACTTTAATGATCCCACTCCTGCCACAGATGACTTCCTTTCATTTGTTTAGCAAACGACTAGAAGACAAAGATCGAGGAGCAGAAGTTCACTGGTAGATTAATGGCTAATGCTTTACCCAGCAATCAAAGTGTGTTAACTGAACTTTCCAAGAGCTATATGTTCTAAAAAGGGAAAGTTTCAATATTTTAAACTGGCATTTCATGATCCTCAACTCAAGACCCACTTTCTCCTGCCTGATTCTTTTATGATAGGCATGGACCTATTATTTTAAAGAGTATTTTTTACATGATGATACCATGTTCAATGAAAAACACTCTGTTTCAATAAAAAGTATGGCAGTTCTACAGGTGCACCCACATACACATCTCCATGCACACACATACACTACACACACATACACACATGAATACAAAGATGACATGGTAAAGAGAGAATTAGTAACAACATCTAATACTTGTCTTATTAATAGTATTACAGTATTAATAACCATGTTGATTATTATGCTTACAGTCAAGAAAGGGGCTTTCATGAATGTTAACTCCTCAATCTTATAAAGTAGATACTATCATTCTGTTTTATGGATGAAGAAAATATTACTTGCACACTTGACTGGCAGATAGAAGAGGGTAGGATTTAAGCTCAGTTCAGGGTGTTGTGATTTTTACCTGACTTCCCAATCTTCTGCTTCAAAAGTACCACCTCTCCTCATAGGGGAAAATGAGCAAAAACTAAAAGCAACATCTCCATTTTATAAACCAATAATGTAAAATAAGCTGTAACAAGACAGCAGAGGTAACCCAGATGAGTATGGGGTTTTTGTTGCTATTGTTGTTTGGCTCTGTTTTGCTTTGTTTTGTTTTGGTCACTGGGGGAAAAATACACTTGCAGTCAGAAGGCTACCTTCCTGTGATTGAACATGGGACAGAGGCAGAAACATGGAGAAAGTGGCATCTTTGTGTAATTATAAAGCCATGGTACCTATTCCATGGAAGCTCATAGAGATAAGTATTAAATAAAGGCCTGTCCATCTTCATGCCTCTCAAAGATTTCAAGACTCAAACCCTATTTTAGCTTTACTGGTGAGGCATAAAATAAAAAAGGATGAAACCCAGTGTTAAAAATAGCTGGGCACAGTACCCAGGAAGAATCAGATTAGTCTCCTATAGCACTAGAACAAAGGGAAAGGGGCTCTAAGTTACAGGAATTTATTATACATCTTATAAAGATCTGTAAGAGAGTGTTAAAGTTACATAAGTAAAGAAATGAGTCCTTAAAGGCTTTGAAATACTATTCACTGTTTTGGTCATTGCACGTTGCATGTGTGAATCAAGTTAATTAACAATCACATAGTGACGAATAAGCACAAGGGATGAATGAATTGTTTAAAGACATTAATGGCTCTATAAACCACAACAAATTAATGGGACCTTTTCTCCCTTGCTTGTAGGAAGTGCATTTGAAGAACGCAAGTAGAGGGAGTACGGGAAACAAGAACTATAGGATGTAGGAAGAACCTACCAAGAAGCAGAAACCGATGGGTCACCGCAGGATCCTTTGATCTACATCAACAACCTGCAAACATTGGAACACCTACCAAAAAATAACAATAAGATGAATAACATTTCAAAAATGGGCATTTTCCCCAATGAAATACACAAGTAAACATTACAACATGGTCTTTAGGAGTGTTTGTTAAAAAAAAAAAACAAAAAAACAAAAAACTTTGCACCTTGCAAAAGTGATCCTGGAGTGAGTAGATTGCTTTTGATCCTTTATCAATACGTTCTATAGAGAAAAAGTATATATATAATTATATCTCCTAATCTCTGCCTCTCAAGAGCCGGAAATGCATGGGTGTTGTATAGATCCAGTTGCACTAAATTCCCCTCTGAATTTTGGCTGCTGAAGCCAGTCATTCAGCAACTGTGTATAAGTGGTTTATGAATTACTCTCTTATTTTTACTTTTCCCCACATAGCTCAAGCTGCTTGTTTTACAGAGTTTAATAATCTTGTCTATCTCTATTAGCCCTACCCTTTCCTAACATATGTATTTGTTGAATTTGGCCTCCTCAAAAGCAATAGCAAGTAAGTAGTCAACTGGCCCACCAAGTTTTAACCCATCTGATTCCATCTGTGGCATCTGTACCAAATATAAGTTGGATGCATTTATTTTAGACACAAAGCTTTATTTTTCCACATCACGTTACAAGAAAAAAATAGGATGACAATAACTGTAACTTTGAGGCCAATCATTTTTAGGTGTGTGTTTGAAACATAGAACGTCTCTTTGACTCTTGATGGTTCCTTCAAATGATAAGTTAGTATGTAACCTAAATAGTAATTTCTCTCTTTTTATTTTTTCCATATAGAGCACTATGTAAATTTAGCATATCAATAATACAGGATATATCAAACAGTATGTAAAACTCTGTTGTTGTTGTTTTTTAGTACAATGGTGCTATTTTGTAGTTTGTTATATGAAAGAATCTGGTCAAAACGGTAAAAGGTGAAAGCAAAGCAAAAACGAAAGCCTGGAGCCTAAGATGACAAAATTAGGAAGGGAACTGAAAAAAAAAATCCATCCTCTTGGGAGATGCAAATGCCTCCCCAGCTATGCCTTCCAAGAGGAGTTTAAGATACAAAGTCCACTAAGACACACACATACTTGGTGAGTCCAGAGAGGATACTATGGAGTAGGAAAGCAAGAGGCTAGGGATTTTAGGAGCCCTGGTTCCTTTTTTTTATCACCAATGTCATAAGTATTTGCAACATCTGCCACAGGGACTCACCACTGTGTGACCTTGGTCAAGTCACTCCTCCTCTCGGTGCCTCAGTTTCCTCATCTGAAAAATGGGGGCAATATGTCATCTACCTACCTCAAAGGGGTGGTATGAATATTAAACAGATAGATCTTCAGATTTTTCCTCTGGGTTTCCAGGTGGGTGCAACATCAGAACCCTTGGATTACTGGGATACGAGGAATTCTGTAAATAACCCATTGACAATGTAGTTCCAAGGATTATTTGTCAATCACTGAGATGTTAATATGATATCCAAGTTCTAATTGGTGAAGCTCTAACTAGTGAAGAGCTAATGACTCCATCTCTCCAACACACCACAAAGTAAGAGGAATTTGGTTTATAATTTGATTTTATTTCTGCATTGAACTTAGGAACATAAAGAAAAGTGAAAGGAAAGAAAAGGGGAGAAAGAGAAAGATCCTTGACAATTAAAGTGTATTCCATTTATTCACTCTCATTAATCCTTCCAGGTACTTAGTATTTAGGAATAATACTAATATTATCAATGATAATCTACTCAGTTGGAAAAATACATTTCCTTCCCTTTAGCATATTAAAAAGACCTTAATATTCTTAAGTTTTGAAATAATATCTATTAAGAATCACAAGTTACTTTAGTGGATATAGTCTTATGCCCTTGCTTGTGTACACACGTACTTGCTTTATTTTGTGAAAATTGTGAAGCCAGAATTGCTACTTGAGAGGCAAAAATTTTCCTTCTCAATCCCAAGATTCTCCCTATCATCCGCATAGAAGGAAGAATCCACCTTCCTGCAGATGTGTTGGATACATTTAACTGGGTGTTGATTACCAAAAACAGTCTAGAATGTTCCCTATTTTGTGCAGAAAGATTGTCTCCCTCCTTAGAACAAAAATAATCCAGATAATGTTACTATCTGTAGCTTTGCTCTCTTGCAGATTTCCTTAATATTCTTATAAAATACATAAGAAAAACAAAAGAGACATTTTTCATATTCCTCCCACTGGCCTGCCTCAAGAGTCTCTGAATAAATGCAGAGTGCCCTGCTCAGGAAAGCTTTGAGAATGACCCGCTGGGCTGAGCATGCCTAAGTACCACATAGAGATGTAAATAGGTCAGTTTTGCCATTATCTGTTTCCCAGAAGTGTGGTAGGAAAAGTTGGACCCTCCCACACCCAGGGTGGCACTTCTAACATCAGTTCTTGTTTCCAGAGTGTAGCTTTTAAAATTGGGGATCCCAAAACCCTTATAGTTAGTCTTCTACAGGTCTGTGGGGTTCCTGCCATTGTCGGATATGGAGATTCCAAGAGTCTGTCACATACACTCAGTCAAGAATTCTCTCAATGAGGAAAAGTTAAATATGAAATCCTTTGTCCAATACATAATTCTCTCCAACTGGACCAGAAGCCAACTTGTAAAATTAATAACACTCACATATCATTATACTCTCAAACGAATGAACACTGTAAGATAAAACTACAGAAACCCTGAAAGCCAACTGGTCACTGTATGATGAATCATAAACTGTCACGTCAAATTTTACAACTCTAAATTCTGTAAGCTTCACTACAGTGTTAAATGCTTTGCTGTCTAGAAATGGGGCAACTTTAAGACGTTCACAAAAGAACTATAAAGATAGACAGGAAGGAGTTTTTATTTGATAGCCTTATTCCTGATTTAATTAAAATACTCAGTACCTAGGTGAAGTTGTGGTCCTATTCTCCAAAGGATATCAATTGTTTGAGCATTATAAGATGAGTGAGTGCTACTAAAAAAGCTAATACATCTCTCCATTATAATCTACTCTCTTAGGGTAAAAAATACTTTTTAATATCCAACCTATATGCATGTAGCCTACATCCATGCAAGTGTGTGCCAGCACCTGCACACACACATGCACACACACACACAAAGACACACACACACACACACACACACACACACACGCAACACACACCTACTCACCCTAAGAGGCTCCAAATGGAAAAATTAAAAAAAAAATCATTTCCTTGAAAATCTTATTTTTAACAAAGCAGCCCTGCCCACTTGAAACTCCATCCCCTCCTTGGAATGTCAAAGTAAAATATGGAATGTCTATGTAGCTGAAACCATCTCATACCCCATGGCTCCAGGATTTCTGTTATTGGTTTGTGCACTTGGGAAGGGATGAGGGAGGGAGGATGCAGCATGTTTTGCTTTCCCATTTATTGTTTGGCCAGCTATGCCAATGTGGTGCTATTGTTTCTTTAAGAAAGTACTTGACTAAAAAAATGAAAAAAGAAAAAAAAAGAAAGCATAGACATATTTTTTTAAAGTATGAAAACAACAATTCTATAGATAGATGGCTTAGTAAGATAGTATTAGATCTAGCCACCACCTTTCAACTTTATATCACTTACAAGTAAAATATTGTTCACCAAGTTGTGAGTTTGGGGGGTTCAGAGACAGAGGATGGAAAGTTTCTAAAGTTAGAAGGCTCCATTATTCCGTTGGCTCTCAAATTCAATGAAATTAGCAATATTGGTCCCAATCTGAAATGTTGGTCAATACCTTGAAATAAAAATGGGAGGAGAAAAAGAACTTGAGGCAAATGGCAGAAGAGGATTAAGTTTCCTCTTGCTTGTTTGGGTTTCTTGATTATCTTTGGTTTTGTGTGTGTGTGTGTGTGTTTGTGTGTGTGTGTGTGTGTGTGTGTGTGTGTGTGTGTGTGTGTGTGTGTGTGTGTGCCACTCTAAAATACTCAGAGAGTAGAGAAAATAAAAACAAAGATTCTAAGAAAAGCAGACTTACCATTGCTAGAAACAGTTTCTGCCACACCCTCTGGGGTACACACGAATTTCTGGTTTGTAGCAGATGCTCTCCCATCAGACACCTCAAAGAGTGGTTACTCTCCCTCAAGCAGTCATGGATCTCATTGGGAAGGGTTGAAAGTATTTCCTTGTGAGACGGGGGTTATCTACTGACAAAGAAAAGAATTTATGAGAAATTTTTGAAGAAGATGGCTAACAACCTGTGAAGATATTGTTTTGTTTTGTGTTGGGTTTTACTCTTTACTTTATACAATCTTTATGAATGAAAAGCTTAATGTTCAAAAATGGCTTGGTCTTTTTTTCTCTTTCATAGTAGAATGAAAGATGATAAACTCACATAGACTTCATAGGCTAGCTAGAAATGTACGGTTTGACTTGTTGAATCCAACTATTTTAAGTGTTCCTTTCTGTTTTCAATCATAAAAGACTGTCTTAATTTATTAGAATAGGTCCTACTTGGCTCTTCTCCCACAAATGACCATATGCACTCAAAGGATAAGGGGTCCCCATATTTTCAAAGATGGAGGATTAACATTAAAGAACTATTTACCTTCAAATACAGTAGAAGTGTGAGTCTCTGTCCCCACTCACCACAAAGATCATAAAGTCCTGCATCTGAGGGGGAAAATTACGGGAAAATTTTGTTGCTTGTTTTGTTTCTAAGGTTAGTGCTTAATCCTATCGTACACACTTGCTTACTGCTGTTGTGATATTCTGTAAAACTTTCCTGTTAGGTATTAGAAATTGATATATAGATACCTTCTTTGTGTGGTTTCTGTTTAACAGAAAAGAGACAAGACTGTCTGAAGCTTAAGTGCATATGGTACATGATAAAGATATCAATTTAAATAACCAAGTCACAGCTAGTACAATCCTCTCTTTCTTATCATTTTAAGGAAAACTTTCTCAGATAAG